ACATCAAATAACTGCACTGCCGTTCTACGCATATCTGTCCCATATTACTTTTGGACGTTTTTCAAATAACTTTTTTAGGTAGACTTTGGAATGAAAATAGAAAAACATATAATTTGTTCTGGGTTTTTGTATAAAAACAATATCAAGTCTAATTGTCCCATGTTGAAATTCTACGCATAACTGTCCCACAAAGATTTTCTTGACTGAATCTATCATAACGAATCGATTTGTGTACACAAATTATTGATCAAAAGAAACGGTATAAACCATTTTAGGATGTGTTTTATTTTATGAAAAACGGGATTTCACCAGCTTCTAATTTCAAACAATCCCCTATAGTGTCTACGTTTTTCATGAAAAGCCCCTTTTATAATATGATATTACGCAGCATAAAGTTCAACTCCGTACAGAAGAAATTTGCATGTGCATGTCAACTCATCCAAAGAATTTCTTGAAATCATCGAAGCCCACGCTCAACGATCGTGTAACTTATTGATCTTTTGTCCACAGCATGTCAGCCGCCATAAATCTATGGTTGGACTCAAAATTATTAAGAACAATCTCCTTTAGGCCTACGTTCATCTTGCTAAGGAGTAGAAGTTTATGTTCTAAATAGTGCATTCACCATTAGTTTCTTGAAATGCCCATACTTTTAATAGTTTTATAGAAGTAGCAATGTCAACCAATTTATTGTTGGTATAATTTAATTATGAAAAGCTATACAAACTATTGCACATGTCACACCAAATTGGACTAATAAGCGCGTTTTCACTTATTAAAAAGTGTGATAAAATTGCAAGTTTACATCATATCGTCTTGGTGTCTTGGGTGCACTTATTCCTTATGATGCAAGCAATAAGTGCTCCCAAGACATCAAAACGATTTGACGGAAATGTGCACTTCTATCACACTTTTTGCATTTTTGGGACAGTCCAGTTTCAGATGCAATCAGCAATATCTTCCAAAACTTCGCGGAGAACGTAAGCACGCTCATGCTAGAGTCGGTGTATAATGAGTCACGCCAAGAGTGAAGCCAAGTCTACCTATCTAACTGTCAAACCAGCTACCTATCGTGCAAAGTAAACAAACATTACGATGCTATGAAAGGTCTACGAAAGGTATTGCAATAAAAATAAAATATAATCGAAGAAATGATAATAAACACGCTCACTTTCAATTGTCATGGGATACGTTTGGTAATGATCATTAATGAGAATTTCTACTATTTTTTGTTAAGATAATTTGACAAAATCACTTATATAATGATTTACTACAGCCGCTATTATTTTTTCTCGCTAGAAGTCATTTAAAGTTGATGTAGAAGTCCTCTGTTGCCAAGTGAAAAGAAAGGGAATCTTTCGAAAACCGTGATGCGAGTTCAACTGTTTTTCTCTTGGCGTGACTCATTATACACCGACTCTATTTCCAATGAGCAGAAATGATTCGAAACATTATTTGCGATTTTCTCAGAAACAACTTTTTAAACATGGGACTAATATGCGTAGAACGGCAGTGCAAATGATCGTGAAATTTACGGTACAGAACCCTGAAGCAAATCAAGATCAGTTGCTCATCGTTATCTAATATTATATTTTCTCTAACTTATAAATGCTGATGCTTCCTAATGTAAACATACACATTTTTCATGAAAAACCATTCATTCCTTCCAGGCCTTGTTGTCCTCTGCTGTCCGAAGAAGTCGTCTCCACTCTATTCGATCCATAGCCACCATCGCCAGTCTCGTAGTCTGCAAAGAGTCTGTAGGTCGCCTTCTACTTGGTCGATCCACCTTACCCGCTGAGCGCTTCTTCTTCTTATTGGGTCGCTTTCGAGAACCATTTTCACTGGGTCGTCGTCCGGCATTCTTTCGATGTGCCCAGCCCACCTTAGTCGCCCAATTTTTGCAATGTGGACGATGGATGGTTCTCCCAGCAGCTGGTGCAATTCGTGGTTCATTCGGCTCCTCCACGTTCCGTCATCCATATGTACTCCACCGTAAATGGTACGCAACACCTTCCGTTCGAAAACACCTAGTTGGTCCTCCACGAGCATAGTCCAGGTCTCGTGGCCGTACAGGACCACCGGTCTAATCCGCGTCTTGTAGACAGTCAACTTCGTGCGGCGACGAATTTTATTCGACCGGAGTGTCCTCCGGAGTCCAAAGTAGGCATGATTCCCTGTCATAATGCGTATTTGAATTTCTCTGCTGGTATTATTTTCGTCACCGTCAATCTGAACCAGTGTTGGGAAAATATCAAAAAATCAAATCTCATCAACGCCCAAGATCACGCTTGATTTTCGTAGACAAAAATCCACAAGCAAACAACTGCGGTTGATTTTGCAAGCTGTGATATCGCAGCTCGGAATATCAAGCTAACAAAACTCGCCAACTGCAAATCTCACCAAACTGTGGTGAGATTGAGTATAATGATTTTTGCATTACACCCGAATGCAACCGAAACTTCCATAACGGCTTGCAGCAGTCCCTTTGCGTCTGCCATCGGTGAAGATTAAAAAGAGATAGCAAACTATGCTTTCTCTTTCTGAGAAAACGATGTGTAATGGAATCATTTTCGTGTCGACTCAACTCTCAGCTTGATTTTTGCACGTTGTGAATAGTCTCGCAATATCAAAGGAGCTTGTAAAATCAATATCAAGTATGATATTTTGTTCCAATATCACGCGTCGTGATATTACGAGCGCATGAAAGCGGAAAAATATCAATTGATTTTTGATTTTGCCAACACTGATCTGAACTCTTAGTGTGATGTTAACATTGTCTTCCCTAGAACCTCTTCCTCTCATGTATTTTGTCTTTGATGCGTTGATGGCAAGTCTAATCCGTCTAGCTTCAGCCTTCAGTCTGATGTACGTTTGCGCCATCGTCTCAAAGTCCCGTGCCATGATGTCGATGTCATCGGCGCTGGATGTACTTCTTGAAGATCGTACCTTTCGTGTCTATCCCAGCTCTTCTGATCACACCTTCTAACGCGATGTTAAATAGCAGACACGAAAGTCCATCACCGTGCCGTAGCCCCCTTCGATTCGACTCAAAGGGACTCGAGAGTGTCCCCGAATTCTCGAACAACGCACATGACTCAATCCATTGTTGACCAATCGCGTCAGTTTATCCGGAGATCCGTACTCGTGACAAATCTGCCATAGCTGATCTCGATCGACTGTCGTATGTGGATTTGGTGTTCAATTGGACTGTGTATAGAAACTGAGACCAATAAAAACAACTATTAAGGCCTTTTCTATCTAGGAATAATATCAAAATAGAGATTACACTGTGGAACAAAGGTTCTATTCACCTGCCCGGTGGATCAATATGGGTTTATTTACATTGAATCCGGTTGGTACAATTTACACATTTACTTGTATTATTTACATGTCTTATTCCGGAAAATGGGATTCCGCTAAACGGTTTTCCGCAAATGTATAATCGGGTTAACTAATACGTTTATTAATTTATTAGTTAGTCAAAATTAGATCGATGTCACACAAAATCCTCACGATACTTATAGGTTTTAGAAGCCAAAATTATCTTCTTAGATTATCTTAAACGAATAAGTCAGCTATCAGTTCTGTAGGAAAAATATCGTCACTCGGTTTTCTTAAAACAATCGCACAAATTTCATAACACGTCAATCTCATTGCAGGTACCCGCAAATGCCGAAGCAGTGCCACTCGCGAACTGACGGTATCAGACCGTAAGCTACGATCCTATTCACGCAAGAAGCGGTCCACGAACCTAATCACCACGCGACGCGGCATCCGGGACAACAGCAAGAGCAAGGAATACTGAACCTGGGAGCGCGATATTCGAGAAACAGAATAAGGATACCACCGATCGATAATAATACTGAAAGGCAGCCGACAAAATCATCGTGCACAAGCGAGAAATTCTCAAGAATGCGGACACTCATGGCGTTATAATCTAAGGATTCAACAATAACGCAATCGGATATATCACAAATGCAGCACCGCGCAGACGGACATCGAAATTGTTTTATAAAATTTTATTTTTGGTATTTTTATTGTTTTCGGAATTATCCTTCTACTCAAAATTTACATTTTACTTTTCTCACTTAGTTTTTCGAATTTTTTAATTTTCTAAATTCTTTTCTAGTATTGTTTTCTTTTCTTTCTCTATTGAACTGCTAAGTATTTGCAAACAGAACTCTTTTGTATTTTAGGTTTGTCAGGATTAAAGTGTTACACAGTTACATTATTTTGAAGCAAAAGTTGAACTAAATTAATCGTAAATTTTAAGTGTTCGAAATTGTTAATGGTAATCTAGAAATATGAAACCAACATCAAGATACAAATGGAAGCTGTGAAACTTGTTGATGAGAAGCGTGCCTTTCGAAATGCGAACGATCGGCTCGAACGAAGAAAGTATGTTAAAATGTGTAAATGTCAATGATCAAATAGCAAATCCAAAACAGAAGGAAGATACACGGTTCGCTCTGAGAAAATAGAGTCAAAATGCAGAATAAACTGCGGACGAAATCCAATGTTAACAAAAAGTGAAAAACGACGAAAATTTTGTGATTTTAAAATATAAGCACCATCGTAACGTAAGAAAAGAAAAGTCGATGTTCAAAAGGATAATTTCCTAGTTTGTTGTTTCTTTCAACTCATCGTGGAAGAATGCTAAGGTATGAGCAGGTTTCAGTAGTTTGTAAATAGTGTATTAAGTTTCTTCCAATATTTGCCGTTCAAGCAAATTTGATAGGTTTCTCCATCCACTTGCTCCATTGCCATAGAACTGATCCTTATTGACTAGTGTCGGGTAGGGGTTGAATTATGTCAACCATTTTTGTGTTAGTCATCGCTTCATGTCTAATGTTAGCTCGTAAGAAAACTGTTCCAAAAAGGGTATATTTTTGATAAGTGATTTTCCTATAGATATCTAATGAAAATGTAAAACCAACAAATGAAAAAAAGATTTAAAATAAAGAGATATGCCAAACACAAATCCTGCTTTAATCCTTTCTTATTAGCACAGTTTTTCCACCAATTCATCCAAAGGAACGAGAAATCCTTCGGACTCCTCGTCAGGGGTGTATTCGGGAAACAAGGTCCTACAGTAAAAAGTCATCGTTTTTGAGTCGACTTTTTCGCCAAGCGTTGCCAATTGTTCGTTGAATGCTTTGAGGTCTACTGGATCGAAAACCCCTTTTGCAATCAAAGTCAACGCAGCCCGTATCTCTTCGCAACCGGGGTTCATCAATGTTCGGTGGTTCAGGAATAGTTTCACAACCTCCTCGAAGGTAAGAAATAACATTCCCATTTGTTCGATTTCTTTACCCAGATTGTCCTCCTGCAATTTGGTAATGGTGGATTTTAGAGAAGGTTGTCAAGATTCTATAAAATAGGAAAGCTCACCTCGAATTGTGTCATGTGGAATCCTATGCTTCTCATGTAGTTAGGCACATCTCGAACGTCCATGGCATCCCGTATCTGAGGAAAGGTAAAAAAATAGATTATACCTAGGGTGAGTGTGCTAGTTTTCGACCCTATGTGGAATTTCACATTTTTTCATTCATTACAAAATTTTTGTCGATAATGGTAGGGGAAAAATGGGTACCCTAAGAAGATTGATGTTGTTTATTGTGAAAATAAGTGAATTCTGAGTATCTACGTGGCTACGTGTGCGCGTTTGCTTCCAAATGATCAATGGGGTTCTTTAATTTTGAAAAATATATCGGTTTTTATACATCATCTGAAAGAGCTTCGTTTTCTGAGCACAGCGATATTTTTTTTCGATCCAACACACTTTCATCTCAATTTTTAAATCAAGATTTAAAGTAAAATAATAACTTCACTGTTTGACACTAAACTGACAAACTGACAGCTCGCTCCCATACAAAGTGACACCGAGGGGTGCTAATAAGGTGATTTTTGCAATTGTAATCGTTCTTATTTATAATAGTTCCAGTGTACCAAAATTGGTAAATGTTTGGGTTCCATTTTTAATGCAGATTACGAACCCAATTTGGGTTGTTTAGGGGTATTGATGGTTTTGCATATTCGTAATCTACATTAAAAATGGAACCTAAATACAAAATTTCATAAATTTTGGTGCACAGGAACTATGTTAAATCAGTGCGATTACCAGGGCCCCACAAAGTCACATTCAATCGAAGATCGTCAAGCGACGATGAAGCTGTAAACCATCACTTTCAATTGAAAGTCATTCTGTCTTCTCTGTCAACATCAACAGAACCACTTTCGATCAGTTTTCATGCTGTTTGTGTTGGCTTGACTCGTGTTCATTTCTTCTTTCATTGTCAAATGAACTTACTTTTGCATTGAAGCGAAGCTGTTCGATTCAAACTCGCGCAGTTTTTATGACTTTTATTGATTGTTCACTCGGTTCATTAAAGCGTATGCGCATAGATCTGTGCACGTGGATGTCAAATTTATCATTGTCGGTGGCATGTTTACTCATCAATGTGTGTATTTTTTAATCGAGGTGACGTCTAGAGATCGAAAATTGATATGCGACGCCATTTTTAAATCCAATATGGTGGCTTCCAGTTTAATAGAAAGTAGGAAATACTGTCAAATACCTATCAATAAAAGTATTTTTGGAATCGGGATGCTGTCTAGAGGATGAAAATCGAAATCCGACGACATTTGAAATAGAAGATGGCGGCTTTCGACTTAAGAAAAAGTGGAAATATAGACAAATACACATCAATATTGACATTTTTGTAATCAGTATGTAGTCTACATATGCGATGCCATTTACAAATCCAAGATGGCGGCTTCCTATTTGACAACAAATGGGAAATATTGTCAAATACCCATCAAAATATAGGTATTTTTGGAATCGGGATGGCGTCTAGAGGCCGGAAATCGATATCCGACGCCATTTTGAAAACCAAGACGGGGACTTCCGATTTACGGAAAAGTGTCAAATACCCTAAAATATGGTTATTTTCAGAATAGAGATGAGGCGTAGATGCCGAAAATTGATGTCACACCGTCTTTAAATCCAAGATGCTGACTTTGGTTCAGAGAAACTGTGAAATACTGTCAAATACCGATCAATGTGGGTTTTTTTGGAATCCGAGTGACATCTAGAAGCCAGACATCGATGTCCGACGCCATCTTGAAATTCAAGATGGTGTCTTCCGATTTCAGAAGATGATGGCCTACAAATGGCACCGAATACCAATTTTCAGCATCTACGCGTCGTGGGAATCGGAAAGGTTCCGTTCCAAAAAAAAAACCCTGATATTAGGGTATTTGACACTTTATATGAAACCTGATGGCCGCCATATTGGATTCCAAAATGGCATCGGATATCGATTTTCGGCAACTACACGTTGTCCCCGTTCCGAGAATAACCATATTGTAGGGTATTTGACACTTTTTGCGAAACCGATGGTCACCATATTGGAGTCCAACATAGCGTCAGATATCGATTTTCGGCATCCATGCGTTGTCTCCGTTCCGAAAATATCTTAGGGTTTTTGACACGTTTTATGAAACTTGATGGCCACCATCTTGGATTCCAAAATGGCGTCGAATATCGGCTTTTGGCATCTACGGATCGTCCCTGTTCCGAAATTACCCATATTGTAGGGTATTTGACACTTTCTTAATCCTGATGGCCGCCATTTTGGATTCTAACAAAGCGTCGGATATCGATTTTTGACATCTACGCTTTATTACCGTTCCTAAAATACCCATATCTTAGGGTGTTTGACACTTCCGAAAACCAATTTTCACTATTATGAATTCCAAAATGGCGTCGGATATCGATTTTCAGCATCTACGTGCCATCCCCGTTCCGAAAATATCGAGGAAAATATCCTATTATGGCTGCCATTTTGGATTCCAAAATAGCGTCGGATATCGATTTTCGACACCTTCGCGTCGTCCCCGTTCCGAAAATACCCATATTGTAGGGTATTTGAGACTTTTGCTGACCCCGATGGCCGCCTTCTTGAACTCCAGAATGGCCGTGTTAATTTAATTTTCGTTTGACATAAAATAGTATATTATTACTACATATAATCCGGATACCATCCCTATCGGCAACCGATATTGTGCGGATACTATATTTTTATGCTTGACGACGCGATGCGTGACAAGTCGAATGAGCCAGAATGGAAGTGAAAGTGGAAAAAACGGAGGAAGCAGTTTCCGACTCATTCATTGCGTCAATTGAAACAAGTCATTGCTTCAAATGAAATGAACTGAAGCACTTGACGAACGAAACAAGCGATAGTCAAGTGATGTTTGAAAGGAGGAATGTTCATCGTGACTCGATAACAAGAAACACAATGACTTACACGAAAATTATATTGCTCGAAATGAAGCGATTCTGCGGAGAGTTCATTTTCTTTTCTTTCTTTCGAAAATGCATAGCACTGGCGATTACATTTGCAAGCATCACCATTTTAGCGCCCCTCGCCATAGAGCGAACTGTCATTCAATGGATATTAATGCCATTGAATGCAATTTATTGACAATTTAAAAATTGGTTTACAAATCAAGATGAATGTCTCCAAATGCACAAAAATGTGCGTGAGACCGCGTGCTACCTTGTTAAGCAGTTGTGATATCGCGATACCTTTTTGGTTCTTCTTCTTCTTCATTTTTATATGTGGATGTTGGATTTTAGTGTTCGTGAGATTGCGCTTGGAGATCTCTATATGGGCTATTAAATGTAAAATACTGTGTAGCCACAGCATAGTTCTGTCAAAACCTCAGCATTATCATTGATCCAATGGGAAAGTATGATAATGAGCCAGACAGCTGTTGTTTTTGAGGAAAGCGACACAAATCGGTCATGCCAGGAAAAGCGAGAATAAAAATTATGATTCCACGTGATTTCTTCATAGTCGGTTCGTGGCATACCTGTAGGTAGGTAGGACTACTTACCAACTTTCCATCTATTAATCATTTTGTGAAGCTTCTGCATTCATGTTCCATCAGATGTCACTGCTGTTGTTTGTGGTGACATCTATCGGAAACTACGCACAATCTGTTTTCCGTTAATTGTTCACAGAGGACAGTGCAGTGCAAAACATGTATGGTACCTATATATATGCAATGACATATATATATATATAAGGTCTGGGCCAACAGGCAGCTTGCTGGTGTTAGAAGCAAAAATGTTGTAAACATTGCTGAACATCTGCGAACAGATAGAAATACGTCACTGCCAACAGCTGTTTTGTGTAAAAAGATAAACATTGCAATAAAATACGAACACCACTAAACATTTGCACATTTCACTAACACCAATAAGCCCTTTGGCCCAGACCTTATATAAACGTCATTGATATATCTGAATTTACAGGTACTCTATTTGGTAATCTATGAACGGAAAATCACAAATCGAGTGTCATCAAAATACATGGCATGTTGAGAGATTGAGCCCGTGAGAGAGAATATTCTGTCTCTCAAATTTGAATATTATTGCTCTCTGGGGACTGGTAGTAAAGCAGGTAAAACCATAGAGGTAACTCTAAGACTAGTAGGTCCCGAAAAAACGAGCTTTACTTTTTGGCTCAGCTCTGGTACTATCTTCGGTCCCAAGCTAATCGATTCACCCCTTGAAACATAGGAAAATCCACTAACCCCTCATTTTATCTGTCAAACTCTCATAGCGAATCAAAACAAACATGGTGTAGTAGTAGAATTTCGACTAGAATAGGGTACGTTAACCGTTTGCTTGGGACCAATAGGCTAGTCAAGTAGTGAGCTAATTTAAAATCGTTTGTTTCGTATTGATTGTTGGTAAAACTGTAGCTTGTTTAACAATAATTTCCGGGAAAAAACTGAACGACAATGTCCCTGAATAATTTATTTAGGTTGTCGTTCAGTTTGTTTTTGACCAGAATATGCACCGAAAGTGAATTATTCCCACTTCTCTCAAATTCTATATGGGGATTTTTATCACTTCCTACCAGCGGAACAGCGCCATCTCTGCGGAAAATGGCCGGACGATACGATTAATTATTGGTTGTTTTACGACCGTGTGCGTTAATCTTAGACTATGGCTTATATCATGTAATATAGGCTGTCTTGCAATAAGCACTCATATACAGGATTTCCAGTGAAAGCTAGATGCATGAGTGCTCATTGCAAGACAGCCTATATGACATGATATAAACCATAGTCTGTACGGGGTATTACTGTTGTCACTGGAATGTCAGATTCCGGAAGCAATTTAGAATGGTTTGTCGTATGTTCCAACAGCTGAATTCATTAGAAAACAGGTGCTAGTTAATTGTTATTGGATCTATAGTTACCCGACCGCGAGCGGCGTACAAAATGTGTACAGAAAATATCAATTATCAAATCCTAGAACCAAAATTAAAACAAAATTTCAAGATTTAATCTTGCTAAGAAAATGGGTTTGAAAAGCGTCTCAGCATTTTCACAACCATTATACCATAGAGGTAACTCTAAGACCACTGGGTCCCGAAGAAAATCAT